TGAAGACTGCTAAAATATTCTCAAGCCATTCCTTCAGATAACTAGTTTAATTTCTTTAAAGGTTCTGGGCTTCTCAACAACACATGGTCGCTTGTCGATGATGGCATTCATTCTCAATTCTCTGACATGGTAAGTTCATATGAATGTGCCGGTTATATTATCTGCATCTTGCATCATTCTCGGCTCTGTTTGTCTTCCTCAGCGCTTTTGGCCTGTGGTTTTTCATCCGACGGGGAAAGCAGTGTCTGGACTTCACAGTAACGGTGCATTTCTTCCACATGATTGGCTGTTGGATCTATAATGCACACCTCCCGGCTGCCCTGTCGTGGTGGTTAGTAAACGTGGCCTGCATGGCTCTCATGGCAGTCATTGGCGAGTACTTGTGCATGCGGACAGAGCTCAGAGCCATTCCTGTCAACACGGCACCCAAATCCAACCTGTGAGGACTTTAACCAACATACATGCCACTGCTGGTGTTTGTGAGGTCGCCGCATCGGCAGGGCTGCTGTGTTGACTAATGCTGCTGCTGGGGGTTTCCAGGATGAGCAGAAAGGACTAGGATTTCCAGTGATGTATTGGTCACATCACTGTATTTAATGCGGATGACAGGTTAAGATGATGTGAGATTGGTTTTCGAAGATGTTGCATAATGTTTTCCTCAACCGTCATTATGGCATTTCAAAAGGACTATTGTGATTATACTTATTTAGGACCAACTCTTTTTATCATTCACAGACGGCTACTGAAAATATGAAAGCGATGGTTTGCTTTACAGAAACAATTGTGTCTTGATGTGTATATCTTTAGCTAAATTAAAATGTTTGGAAAACGGTTCCTCATCCATTTGAAAGGAATACAGTGTTGTTTGTACAGTACATGCGGTTTTCATGTTTTATCAAGCTAACGTGTTTAATTATTACATACAGCAGAGTTTCTCTGTTCTCAACTGCGCTTTGTTAAATGAGTTTCAAATAAACATGGAATTAGAAATTGGCGCTATTAATTTTCTTAACGTGTGTTCCTGCTCAGAGCATGTTATTCCAAAGGTAGGCAGAAATGTGACATTAAGGAAGGTGTCATGGTGGCTCAGTGGTTAGCACTGTCACCTCACAGCTAGAAGGTCACTTGTTTGAGTCCTACCAAGGCAAGTTGGCGTTTCTGTGTGGAGTTTGCATGTTCTCCCCGGTGCTCACGTAGGTTTTCTCTGGGTGCTCTGGTTTCCCCTACAGTCCAGACATGCGCTATAGGTGAACTGGGTAAACAAGTTTAGCCATGGTGTGCGAATGTGACAGTGTGTGGGTGTTTCCTGATACTGGGTTGTGGCTTAAAGAGCATCCGTTGCGTAAACATATGCTGTAATAGCTGGTGGTTCATTCTGCTGTGGCGACCCCTTATAAATGAGACTAAATCGAAGGAAAATAAATGAATGAAACATTAAAGAATTAAACTGGGTCACAAGTATGCAAACTGTGAAATAAATTAGAAACTGTGATATCTGGGTAAACTGTCAAGCATTTCCATTTGTCAAAAATGTGAGCCTTAACCTGTTAATTGTCAATAGTTTGTTCTCCGCTAATAAACTAGCAGCATCCTGTTTGTCTGACACTTTCAGACCACACTGCCATGCTTCAGGCTTAAAACAAGTAGAAGTGTGTAACATGTTGCATTCTGAAGATTTTGCACTTCTACATGCAAGGGCTTCACAATATATCGTTTCAGCATTGATATCGCAATGTGTGCATCTGCAATAGTTTCATCGCAAGATAAGCAATGTTGAGTCTGGATTAGAGTTGAACAGGAGCTACAGAATTGTATTTAATTACTTTATTTTTATTTTATAAACTTTATATAAGTTTAGACTTTATAAAATTTAGTAAAAGAAAAGAAATTGTCTTGTTTTTAGTCTAAATATCAACATTTCAAAGCAAAAACATGATTATATTTCTTCCCCACTGTAGGCTTGGGATGATAACCGTTTTCAAGGTATACCGCGGTTTACAAGAGTCAAGGTTTTAAAACCACCAAAATTGTCTGTTATACCGTTGTTACTGCATATGTACATTTTTTAAAATGTTTTTTAAACAGCAGTATCTGAAATAAGGTATCCAGAGATGCCGTTTTAAATGGTAAAGAAATCAGTGTTTTTGAAAACTAATGATTGATTTATTTGAATTAGTAGCCTGACATGTTTATTGTTATAACTATTTAAAATGTTTCTCAAAGTAAACCATATTGTTCCAAAAAAATTTTTATCTTTTACCCAGACATTTAAAAGAATATATTTTAGAGCAGTAATCACAATACCGTGAAACCACCACAATATTTTTATCCAAGGTTATCATACCATCAGAATCATATACCAGCCCATGCCTACCCCACTGGCAGATAATTTAGCTTGTTTTAAGGAAAAACTCTTCATTTGGTCTTGTTTCTTCTGAATTTGAAAACAATATTTTTACTTGATTCAAGAGTTATTAGATATTTGGACTAAAAATGAGACAAAGCAAAGGAAGAAAATAATTTTTTGTGTTGTGATTATTCCATTTTTGTTCTTGAAAACGGATAGACTCCCCAGAAAACCGTCAAATAGAGCTATTAAAACATCATCATTCATTCATTCATTTTCTTGTCGGCTTAGTCCCTTTATTAAACCGGGTCGCCAACTTATCCAGCACATTTTTATGCAGCAGATGCCCTTCTAGTCGCAACCCATCTCTGGGAAACATCCACACACTCATACACTACAGACAATTTAGCTTACCCAATTCACCTGTATCGTATGTCTTTGGACTGTGGGGGAAACCGGAGCACCTGGAGGAAACCCACACGTACGCAGGGAGGACATGCAAACTCCACACAGAAACACCAACTGAGCCGAGGATCGACCCAGCGACCTTCTTGCTGTAAGGCAACAGCACTACCTAAGGTGCCACTGCGTCGCCTGCTATTTAAACATATCACAATATTTATTGCAGAAAAATTATTCATCGCAATATCTGATTTTTTTTCAATATCCTGCAGCCCTATTTCATGCACTTTTACAAATAGACTGTGTTTTATATAATAAAAAACCTGTCAAGTTTAGAAAAATATGTTGATAATAAGTCAATAAAAAGTCTGGGCTTCATTTTGAGAAAGAATGTTTTCCCAAGAAACGTTAATGCATTTTTTTTTTATTATTATTTCTGGTAAGAAATTCTTTGTTATAACAGGGTGTCCACGGGGTTGTAAAAGGTAGTAAATGAAATTAGCCAAAATAAAGGGCATTAAAAAGTAATAAACATCATCTGAAGAGGTATTACATTTTCAAGCCCAATTTTTTAGAAACATTTTTCAATTTGTGGTAAGTGCAGGCCTTTAGTCTAAAATTTGCATGGATTTATGTTGAGAGTAGGACATGAGCGGTATTATGTGAGGTGATGTTGGTTTGCTGGTTTTCAACCATGCCTAGACTTCCGGCCCGAGAACTGTTTGTAATCGTGCCGTGCCGTTCCAGGCTCAGTGGAGAGACAACCGTAACCGTATAGAACTGTTCTTAGTAGAGCGGCTATTGACATTGATGACATATATAACATTGATTAAAAACTATGGACAAAAGCCCATTGTGACATCTTGATTAATCCCTCTCCTTTACTTAAATGTATATGTTATCAGCAATATGTTATTTCATTTGGAAAGATATTTCATTTACACCACTACAGTTGCAGCTTTAAATCGTGCTTGTATTAAAAACGTTTTTTTGAAGGTATTAAAAAATGTAGTAAAAGGTATTAAATTCAACTTAAGAAGTTCTGTATACCCTGTCCAGAATTTGTCCCATACATGAGCTCATTTATCCTATTTTGACTGCTAAGCCAACATAAATAGAGAAAATAACCCCTCAAAAAAGGCTTTAAGACCAAGCCGAATCTTCTGTTGGCTGTCGCTTCAGTGGGACTTCAGCTAATTAGTTTTGTCCAGTACAAACAATTATTTTCATGAGTCCAGCATCCAGCTGTGCGAGAAAATGCACAATCTGATGTAAAAGATGTCGTCTGTCACACTTTATTTTGATGGTCCGTTTGTACTTGCCAAGTTTCTAATAGTCAGTTTAATGTCTGTTGAAGGAGCAGTATCATCAGATATTAAGCAGACAGTCTACTAATACTCAAATGGACCATCAAAATAAAGTGTTACCAATAATTTTTTAGATATTTGGATTAAAAAGCAGACAATTTTTTTGTGTTGTGATTATTCCATATCTGTTCTTGAAAACTCCCCAGAAAACTGTCAAAGCGTTATTTAAACCATCTTAATTATTTAAATCACAATATTTATGGCAGAAAAATATCGCAATATCAGATTTTTTCAATATCATCCAGCCCTATTACATGCCCTTTCACAAATATCTTGTGGTATTTATGCAATAAAAGCCTGTCAAGATTACAAAATATATGTAGACTATGAATCAATGAAAAGTCTGGGTTTCATTTTCCAAGAAGAAGGTTAATGCAAGTTTTATTATTCCTGGTTGTGATAATAAATAATTCTTTGTTGTAATACAATGCAGCGGTATATAATAATACATTTTCCTTTTTTTTTAATCATCACATTAATGAGAATTAGTCAAAGTGTAATGTATTGCAACTGTACAGGTACGTCAATAAAATGTTTATACTGCAGGAAATATTACATTACCATGAAACTTCCACCCTATGCTGTGTTGATAATGAAAATTAAAGATCAAATACTGATTTCTCATTTGAGAATGCATTTTGATTTAATATTGACAGTTCGAGCATTTGGTATATCATTCGGGTAGTTGTTTTGAGCATTTGATTTATCATTTGGTCTTTTTATGCGTTTGAATTTTCATTTTAATTTTGATAGCAAAAACTTCCATCCATTAACTATGGAATAAATGCGTAAACGTGAGCAGGCGATAAACACTCCCAAACACGCGGCGGCGCGCGCGTGCTCGCTCCAAACCCAAACAAAGGCGTAAAAAGAGTCTCCATGTTCTACATCCGGTGGTTTTCGCCCCGCGCTGTTCCGCTGTGAAGATGCCGAAGTGAGTCCGTTTTTATATTATATTACACAATTAATAGCACAATTCATAAGCAAAACAAGCAAGCAGGTTTACTCAAAAAAGACAATACGTGTATCATTCATGCGTGCAGTTTTGCAGTGTAGATTTCTAAACTAACTACATTTGTTAGACAAGAGCTAGCTCTGTAAGCTAACTAAAGTCAGCTTTTAAATGTGTTTAGGATCATTACTACGGCACTTCTGTTATTTAAACACGATTTTAACAGCTTTCAGTATAATTTACGGAAGGAATACACATTTTAAGGTTACAAATTAATCAACTAACAATAGGCTTACATAAATATGAACACAATTTTACGATTCTCTGCCATTGAAATGCTATTAAAAATTAAAATATTGTATTATTTCTATAGTAAATGCTGTATTTAGCTAGTTAGAGGCAGTTATTGTTCGTTAAATAGCTATAAAATACATGTGTACATTTGTGTTTAGCTTTTAATAGTAGTGTTTGTCTCTTTCAGGTTTTATTGCGATTACTGTGACACATACCTGACACATGATTCGGTGAGATTACCACTTCAAACCTGTGTAAAATGACTTTTATCATTATTATCTGCGCAAATGTTTAATGTTGTAGTTTTATGTCTGCAGCCCTCGGTCAGAAAGACACACTGCAGTGGACGCAAACACAAAGAAAATGTGAAGGATTATTATCAGAAGTGGATGGAGGAGCAAGCTCAGTCTCTCATTGACAAAACGAGTGAGTAAATTATGATCATGTGTTTATTTATCAAGGTGTAAAAGCTATTCTTGATGATATAAACTGTCTTGATAATTAGGCAGGGATGTCTTGGTAGTTAGAGATGAGTGCTCCTGTGTAAAGTCATTTTTGTCTGTTTTTGCAGCGGCTGCATTCCAGCAGGGTAAAATTCCGCCCACCCCGTTCCCTGGAGCCCCTCCACCTGGCGGATCCCTGCTACCTCATCCAAGCATTGGTGCGTTTCAGAGAGATATAATGAATTATTTCTATCCTCTCATGGCCATTGCAGTGTTTGCATATTTAAAATAATATTTCAGAAAACTAAACAGTTTTTATTCTTCACCTATAAAAATATTGCTTACATTTAATGTGAGTATACACAAGTAAACGTTGCACAATGGCATGTTGCAGTAAAGTAACTTAACATATATCGATTAAATCGAATCCTCAAGCACGTTAAATAAATAAAAAATAGTTTTCAAGCCTACAAGAAAAGCATCTAAAAAAAAATCTGTTCGAGATTTCAGTCACTTAACAAGGGATGCACGGACGGTGTTTCTTTGGCTGATACTGATTTGTCAATATTAATCAATTGCATACAGTAATAGCTAGATTTTCTTTTCCTACATTTAATTAATCTTACTAGCGATGTATTAGATCTATTTATCATTCAATTGTCCAACATAAAAATGACAATGTATGTTAATAAATTGCAGTATATAACCATGGGTATCTGGCTTTATCTGAGTACCAATTCCTTGCCATGGTGATTGGCTGATACCAATTCTGATGCTTTAAGCTTTATATAACTTTGACATTGCATAAAGCACATTTTCCCTCACGCCACCACACATAATTGACCTCCTCTCATGTTGTAGCTGCTGATGTATAAAATATGGGTGCGCAAATGCGTCTCCCTCTGCTTGTAAACTCATAAACACTTGCAATCTGTTCATGAGACCGGCCAGATTAGCGAGTACTAATCGAGTCATGAAATGAGATTATCGGCCAATACCGATCTCTGGCCAATCGATCGGATCATATACAGTTTGAATTTAATATTTACAGATTAATATTGGTTGGCGATGTTTTTCTAGTTCTAATGCTCTCTATATATATAAATATATATCACTGCACAATCATTCCTTTACTTGCATAGTGTCTACATTTTTCCAAAATGAGAGCATTCGGACGCGTTTATAACTGCTGGACAAAACTTAATAATAATAACATGAGAAGTTTTGGTAGACTGCTCTGCAATTGTGTTTTGCAAAATTGCACATTGTTTATATGTATATGTTTTATCTTTAAATATGTTTATATCTTTACGCATATTACAGGAATAGTTCACCCAAAAATAAAAATTGTCAACATTTATTCACCTTTGACTTGTTCCAAACCAGCTTGAGTATTTTGTTAATTTTTAGTTAAACACAAAAGAAGATATTTTGAAGCATTTTGGAAGCCAGTAATTGTTGACATCCATAGTATTTCTTTTTCCCCACTATTCATGTCGATGGTTGCTGGTTTCCAACATGCTTCAAAATGTCTTCCTTAGTGTTCAACAGAACAAAACTGGTTTGGAACAAGAAGGGTGAGAAAATGATGAGCTAATTTTGAGGATAAATATTCCTTTAAAATAAACAGATGACTTAAACAACATAAAAAAATTAACTACTTTAAATCTTGATATTTTACCAACGTGGGTCTATTTAAGTGTATTGCATTTAAAAGCACAGTTCACTCAAAACTTGTCATTACTTACTCATTCTCCACATGTAATAAACCTGTTTGTTTCTTTTTACTGTTGAAAAAAAAAAAGTATTTCTGAAAAATGTTGAAACCCTGTAACCATCGGCTTCCATAGTGAAAAAAACAAATACTATAGAAGTCAATGGTTACAGGTTTTTAACATTTTTCAAAAATACCTTTTAATAAAACAATACCTTAATAAAATCATGTTGTGTTAAACAAAAAAAAAAGAATCTCATTTGGATGAACTGTCCCTTTTATTAAAGTGTGGTTTTTGTATTAAGATTAACACTAGTTTTCTATAATTTGCAGGCGGACCTCCGAGACCGGGCATGTTACCAGCTCCACCGATGGGTGGTCCACCTATGATGCCCATGATGGGCCCCCCTCCTCATGCCATGATGCCTGGAGGACCAGGTATAATAGTTTATCTATAACTTTAGCCAAGTTAATGAGAAGGATGTTTTGTTAAAAAAAAAAAAAATCTTGAATTGACCCTTACGTTCATCTGGTTCTCTTTCAGGTCCAGGTATGCGGCCACCAATGGGTGGGCCTATGCAAATGATGCCTGGGCCACACATGATGCGACCTCCTGCTCGGCCAATGATGCCAGCCGTTAGACCTGGTATGGTGCGTCCTGATCGATAAAACTACAGTGCCATGACTTCCAACCCGATACCCACGGAAGCCAAATGTCTAAACTGGTTTTACAGTCGATTTGAAGAGTTTTATTGCCCATTTGCGTTTTATGATGACTGATGTCTGCGGTTCAGGAAACCTCGTTCCGCTTGAGTGACCGGGATTATCACAAATTCTTGTAAAATTTAATGAACCTTCCATTGGCTTTCATTTCATATTTATGACAGACCAGAGGGTGTTGCGTAATGGGTTTGTGTATGATGTGCGTTTATTACGTCGATGCTTATGTTTTTATTTACTGTTGGGACTATTTTCACCATTTAGTTTTTCATGTATTTTGTGAAAATAAAATGGAAAGCTTTTTTTCCTTTTTTTGACATGTTCTGATTTGGTCATTATTTAAATACAAACATACAGCAAATTGCATAATGATTACTGATTATGCATAATGATTACTGATTCATTGTAAATACAGTTAAAGTGTCAGTGATATGTATTAAAATTATTATTAACAAAAGAAAAACAAATATATACATTAGCAGCAAATACACTAGCAAACAGTTTATTAAAATTAATAGCTATTATAATGAAATAGAATCAAGCTATCAATCTCAATAGCCGTTTCTCCACTGTACAACTTACACTTTCTGATTAAAGAACAACGAATGAATCTCTCATCACGCCGTTTTTAATATTTATTTATGTGTCTTCATTCCTAAACAAAGCGAAAACGCAGAATAGACTCACGTATAAGAGTAAGGGGTGACCCCTGGTGGTTCGGCGGTATGGTTGCGTATAGGGAGGCTCGGCTGTTTAGAGAAAGACTGAAAATACGGGAGAAATACAGGAAAATACCTTTACGGGATGAAAGAGGATAGAACTGTAAAATACAGTAATATATATATATCACAGTTTTTTCCTGCATAGGAAATTACAAGGTGGCTACCTCGAGGGCTGCACATTGGTGTAAAAATTATAACATTGCAATTTTTTTTATTCCGCTTATATATATATATATATATATATATATATATAGATTCTGTAGGGGAGTGCATAAAATATAATTAACAATCTACAACCATAGATAAATTCAATAAAGAAAAAGATAAAAAAAATAAATTAAAATTACAAATAAAAAAAAAAGCATGTAAAAAAGCATTTTATTAGTTTCTGAGAAGTCAAACTGTATTTAGTGGTCCCTTGTTATTCGTGAGAATTACGTTCTAAAAATAGCCTGCCATAGGTGAAATCCGCGAAGTAGTCGGCTTTATTTTTTACAATTATTAAAGATGTTTTAAGGCTGTAAAACCCCTCACTACACACTTTATACACTTTTCTCAGACAGGCATTACCATCTTCGCACTTTTCTCTCTCATTGAAACACTCTCAAAACTTAAACCCTCGTAGAAAAATAAGTCCAGTATTATAGAATGAAACCAAAGATCAAAACCTGTTGTCAGGCTCAAGCATCCATCGCGGTCAGCAAAAGGTTCATAAAGCCTTTTAGCTTTTGTGTGGATAATGTTGGCATCCAGCATAATGTTCTTTTTCACTAATCTACAAATCTAAAACAGACTCTATCCTTAAGGGGGTTGCACAGCCGGTGCGCAGTGCACATGACAGTTGGAAGTAATGCACACCGGACGCAAAAAAGCATATCAAATTGCACTAAAAAGCCCATGAAATATGAACGCAGTTATAGCGAGGGACCACTATACAGTGATTCAATAATCACATGTAAAATAATATTGCACAGTCGTCTTTTTATAAACAATTCAATAAAATTAATCGTTGATTTGTCAATGTTCTGAATGCTTTTAAACCCCTCACACAGTCACAGGCCCCCAAAAAACACTTGCGAAATAATAAAAAATAATCCAGACTCAACATTGCATATACTCACGATGTGACTTGCGAAAGATCACATTGCGATATCGATGCTGAAACGATATATTGAGCAGCCCTAGCTAACTCTATTAAATTTTGTAATACCTTCACCTTTAAAGAGCCCATATTATGGGTTTTTGAAAATTCCCCTCCATGTAGTGTGTAACACAGCTCTAAGTGAAGTGAAGTATCCAGCTAAGGCTTAAATCTGTAAGAATACAGTGTTTAAAACGGTTGATTCATCTATAAAAGAGTCGACTCATAGTGCTTCAAACGAGTCATTAGGTGTTTCGCCATGACGTGATAATGAAACCAAGTTATTCACGTGCACGCGCAAACCCGGGAGATTTGAAACCTGAGGCCCCGCCCTCTGACACAGAAACCCAGACACACACACACAAACATGCCGGTCGATTGAAGTCACACTGCAGATGGATATTATTGAGTCTCTACCCAATGATGAAACCTCAGCATTATAGCCAAGCAGTTGGAAACTACTGGAAACTTCTGCAAACTACATGCTACAAAGAATACTTCATCTGCGTTTGTTAAAGGAAGGATCAGTAAAGAGTAACTTACTGATGGACGTCAGGATGGATTTTTCTTCCTCCATTTTCTCAAGTGTAAGTACGTGCGATTAAAGTTGTTGCCTCGTTGACTCTAGCTTGCAAATGTATTTAGCTGTGATTTGTTACTTGTAACCGCGTGTACTGTATCAGGTTAACTGGCTATATTCTCATATCGCGTGCAAAGTCACGTTAAAAATGCGACGCGTGCTGCTTTGTTTACGTAGCTCCGTGGACGAGGGTAGTGTGTGCGTGCGTGTGTGTGCGTGCGCTGTCATCCGGAGGTATGTGTGTGTGTGTTTGTGTGTGTGCTTGCGCATTGTCGTCCGGAGGTGTGTGTGTGCGCGCACGCCAGGACGAGGGCAATATGTGCGTTTGTGTGTGTGTCTGTGAAAAGAGCAGAGTGAGACAAGCTAGGAGATCTCAACAGTTTTTGCTCAATAAAATAGTTAGTCGTCTGTATTTACATTGACCCACTGGCAGCTAAAATCCACGCCTACACTATCGAGCGTGTATGAACTGTGATTACTTTTATATTGCTGATTAGCTGTTGGGCATTTCACTCTCTCACTGAAGGCAGTCGACCAATCGCAACAGACTGTCATCGGTCCAATCAGCGCAGATTAGCTTCGCGCTAAGGAGGGGTTTGGGAACAAATGAATCACTGGACGATTCATACAGGAGTCGCTGGGTTAATTAGGTAAAAATAAATGCAGATTATAAGACCATGAAAGTGTTTTTTGACCTTGCATGCATATTAGACTGTTGTTGTAGACCCTTACAATCAAGATATGACCCTATTTCATGTATAATATGGGCTCTTTAAATTAAAATCAGCACAGCTCAAGCACTGATCATGTATGTAATTACATTTAGTTTTCGCCTGTTAAAATAAGACAATGTTTTCCTTCAAGTAGCAAATATACCACCCCTGCTTCATTTGGAGGCAGGAAAAACCCTGAATCTGCTCAAACAAAATGCAATTCAAGACAAAACACAAAGACGTAGAGCAAAAAAGTCGATTGAATTTATTAGTTCAATGGCATTGAGATATTATAATGATTGTTTTCTTAAGTAAATGGAATGAACATACAGAATAGTATGAACATTCAGGACAAAAAGTACATTTAATAGACATCTTTTAATCATAGTTACTTTACCATCTACGTAGGCCAACAGTGGTATTTTATCATGTGTTGTCAAGTGCAAGCGTTCAGCCCTGAACCTGGTAATAATATTTCTGACATCCTCATACTCTTCCGAACCAGGAAAAATAAAAAAGAGGATGCTAATGTAATTTGTTAAATTGTTTGTCAATATTTGCTCAAATTATGTGAAGTTCAAAAGGAAATTCAAAGAGGAAGCGAGGGAGAAGTGTCGCCTGAGGGTTTGCATTTTTTCTCTGCTATTTTCTCAATTTTCTGTAAATCATCCTAACTTTTGCACTGCAGCATATGTGCCCACAAAACAGCCTGCTAACTCTAAAAAAATAAAACACTTGTGATGCTTTGTGATAAGTGGCCATAAAGTGACATTTAATTCAGCTCTTTGTTTTCATGTGGCAAATCAATAGCCTAAATATGCTACATCTTTGCTATTTCACAGTAAGATCATTGCATCAACTGTCGATCTCAATTTAGCTGGATTCTTCACATACAAGTAAAAATATTTTTGCTGATTTACATCAAAGTATTTCCTCTCAACGCTTACACTTTCATCTCAATTTTGTTTTAAATGCCAGAAACCTTCAACAAGCAGTTCTACAATGTACACGATTCAAAAAGATCTTGTTTTTGCATTATTATTATTTTAGGTATATGCTGTTCCTGTCACCCACAAAGTCTTGATATGAAAATAAACCACAGTTTTGGAGGAAACATTGCACACTTCAATGCTACAATGTTCACACAGTGCTCAGAAAAAGAATTCCAGTTTTCCAGAGATTTTGTTTGCTATTTAAATATAGAAATGATTGAATCTCATGATGGAAAACTTTGAAAAATGCTTAGATCATCTGATTTCATTCCATAATCAAAACAATAAAGCAAATAAAACTAGTTTTTAGGATCACACTTTGTTCCTCAAATGACTATTAAGTAAATTCTTGTAACCATTTTGGGAAAAACAATGAAAAACTATTATTAAAATAGAGTAGATTTGTAAAATATAGTTTTGGGTAATCATCTTGGTTGTATTTTTTTTACACTCCATTTAATTTAATGCAGCTTTTAATATAAAATAAATTCAAACTATTATGGACATGATAATAGTCCTAAAATAAACTTAATTTGAGTCATGCAAAATCTATTTATTTTGATTATGGGGTGAAATATGACACATCTGTGTCAGATTCAATTAAATTTAACATCATTTTGATTGATATTTTAATATATCTGACTTTTAGGTCCATTTCCAACACCAACAAATCAGTAAATCAGTTGAGTAATGTCCTTATTCAAGTTCATTTTTGCAGTAGGAGCAACTTTGGACAGTCCGTTTGCTACGGCAGTTAAGTGCTAATTTAGTATTTTTCTTTCTCTCTCGCATACTCACTCGATTTCTTCCTCATTTGGACTCACACATAAAGTTTCACCTGAGTCCCCTTCAATTCACACCTTGGTGTCCGGAAACTTGAAAGGTGGAGTCAGCTACACAAGGAAAAATACATTGGAATTCAGAAATGGGAATGCTCTAAAATCCCAATCAGAGCCCAGTCAGGACTGCTTATTAAATTGGAAATCTTTTAAAAAAAGGTGAGAGAATTTCAGAAATGTGAACACAGTGTCAAAAAATACACAAAGCTCACGTTACAGGACGTGATGGCATGAGTGAAATGGGTCTGTTAGCCTCTTTGGCAATTTTCAATGGGACAAAATGGGACAAAACAATGTCAAACGATGGTTATTAAAGCGTGAGGATGACAGTGATGGCTGGAGGCTGAGGATGTGCAACACAGTCACAAAAAACTACCACAAGTTTAACAGATAACTCCATAGAAGAGAACATGAGAGACCAACAGTGCAGTTCATAGGTGAACAACAGCCTGAATCAAGAAGTCTTCTTTCTAACTTACACAAGAATAAATAAACAGCCACATACACACTGCAATGTTTAGGGACTGAAAACAACATTAAAATGCGAAATAATCAGCTTAATTATGATTTCGTGTGTATTAAATACATAAATCTCTTCTGAACGCGACATTTTCTGATAACAACCGTTAGTGTCAGTATCGACAGGCTTTCGTTGCGAGGATTGCAAATAAGACTAAATATACGTGACCAAAGGCTTATTTCTATCCAGTCATATTAAAAGTTAGTGGTAGAAACTAAGGTGAATGAAAAACTACCGAAATTCACACAAAAATCAAGACACATACCTCCGTTTTCTGTGATTTTCTTTCACCCTCAAACTTCGAGTAACGTAGCTGCGTGAATGACGTTCGGTTCAGTTGCGCAATGGATGCGCATGCGCACACGCAACGCAAAAGTGGCAAAACACGCCATTTAAAGGCTGTTTCTCAGTTCCAATAACGTAGACAACGGGCTTGAGTTCTTGTGAAGACCAGTCTTGCCAGGTCACTTCGGAAGAATGAACTCGGGAGACCGCGAGAACAGAGAACGAGTCCTCTGAGAAATGAGATGCTGTGTGCTTTATGATGGTCACATGACCTTCGCGCGTTTTTTATCGAAAATTATTTAAGCATCACAGCATTCAAACAACGATTCATTGTTTCCCTCTTTTCAAAATATATATTCTGCATAAAGACTTTATAAATATTGCACAATATAAATAATAAAGATTTTAATATGAATTGCAGCAAATAAACACCCTTAATGTGCCTTTATTAAGTTTTTCATGATAATGTTTACTTTCATCTTTTTATTTAGGGAAACGCCTAAGATAAATAAGTTATATCTCTGAACTTTAATAATAAATGCTGATGAGAATGCCTCCTGTCGCAATCAGTGTTGCCAACTTAGCAATTTTGTTGCTAGATTTAGCAATTTTCAAACTACCCAAGCAACTTTTTTTTATCAGAAAGCACCTAGCAACAAATTTAGCAATTTTTAACATGCATTTAAAAAAACTGGCTTGCATAGTTCGGGATCTGTAGAGCTGCATCAGTGGATTTGCTCTTCAGTGTTTGGACTCTCAGTATAGGGACCATGCCGAAGCATGCTAATAGGACTTTCAATTTGCCAGTAACCTGGGTTAATCGTTTCCGGCAAACTGTATGCCTTTGCAAAATCGGTGCGTTAAAGGTCTGTTTTCTTTAAAAATCTGCGATCTCCACTGGCTGAGTGATATCCGATATAAAGTGGGACTCAGATTGTACAAGAAGCACCGCATTAAATTACATTTTCCCCGCCATGTCTTTATAATATGAGCATTTATTTTACCCCAGTATATTCAATGGAGCTTCTGCGCTAACCTGCCGATTCTGAGGGGCGCATGCGAGCAAACGGCTTTTTGTCTCGTTATACGCTTGAGCAACTAAATGGATGCCAAAGTCTGTTTAACTGATTATATTTGAATGACATTACAACATCGATGCTTTAAAAGAAACCATATAAAATGGACAAAAATCACGATAACAGGTCACCGGAAGTGTATCAGCATGGGAAACACATTAGCTTGGCATATACCCCCTTGAATATTAAACCACACTGAACTGAGCTAAACTGAACTTAAACACAGAAAACTGGACTGACGCTGTTTCAGTTCACTATGATCTTCTATGTGAAGCTGCTTTGACACAATTTACATTGTAAAAGCGCTGTACAAATAAAAGTGAACTGAATTTAATTGAATTTGGCTACTTTTAGCCATTTTTAAAAAAGTGACTCAAAGGAGCAGTGGCTGCAGGCTTCACTCAGCAGATTAACTAGCTCAGATTGTTTTTCATAACTATTATTTTACTGATAGTTGTTAACATGTATAATTGTTGGTAATTTAGGGAGCAATAAATTCCAATAGTGCAATAATTGTTGTCACATTCACAAATGTGTTAATTACACAAGTTAAAAAAAGAGTAAGTACACCAGCTGTGACTGTTTAAAATAATGTAACTGTTCATTATCAGTGTTATATTTAAAAATAAAAAGTTCTTATTAAGAAGTGTTTGTATTACTTTTACAAATAGCCAATCCTATTTTTCCTACAAATCTAAATAGACATATTTCAAATAATGTTTTTGCTGAGATGGCCAGTCAATTTGAGAAAGCAGTCATTATTTTGTATTCAACTTAAATGTGTAGTTTTGAGTTGTGATTACGCAATGATGTCGTCACGAAAAGTAATTTGTTAATAAGAACCTATTTATTGTGCATCTGGATGTAATATTTAAGTACAATATAATACACAGCGCCTCAGAAAGTAGAGACATGACTGGCTAACGCTTGTCAGATACTACGTGATGATGTCACTGATATGCAAATTAGTGCGTGATGTCATCTGACAACATTTAGCTGCTTTTCTGGCAGGCTTTAGCTACTTTTCATTGAAAATAGTTGGCAACACTGGTTGCAATGACTTCTGGGACTTCTAGAGCGAGTTCAGTGCTCAAGTTTGCATCGGTGCGTCCTCGATATTAAGAACAAATCCGAGAAGTTTCACTCGTACTCCGTTCTTGGGGTCTTAAGTATTGGAACTGAGCTTTGGCAGTTGATGATGATGTCAGAGGTTACATCGCTGAAGAACGTATATTGAGAAACAGCTAACGTTTCATTCGTAAATTTGGTTTTAAATCGCTTTTGTTACTTCCGAAAACAACAGAACTGCTAGACAAAAGCGTATTTACCTGCAGTGTGAACGTGGTACATGAAACAACACAAAACAAACCATGAAACAGAAAACAGAATCAACCAGAATAACACATTTCTAGCATCTAACACACTGAAATAACCTTTTTTTTGCGTGAATAAACAAAGTGGTGCAAACTTACAGTTTTTTTTTTCAATCAGTACTTGTCACAATATGCTTAAGGCTGTTTTTTTTTCTTTTACTTTAGCCTTGGTGCATTGTCTCATCTTGGCTTCATTATCATTTTACCTAAAGATAACTCTCACCGTGGGAATTAATTTACAATTGAAAATAGTAACATATATATCGTTATCATGTCTACGAAAATATTTTGTCTCATTTTTCTGCAAACGACTTTTTTTGTGTGTGTGTGGAAATCTCAGAGGTAACTAATTTTACACAACAACTCATCAATCACAAAATGAACAGAGGGTATACACGCACTTACTACGTGATGTTAACAATGTAAAGTTACAAATATAGAACTTTACCAAATAAAATGTATTCCCTTGTTAGATAAAAGCTCGTTAAACAAATTACATCCCAAAAAACAACTAGAAAACAGAATGGGAATGTTGTCTTGGTTATTCCATTTTCTTGGGGCTGTATTATACTCTTCCCAGTAAATGTATTGCATTTCAAATCCCAACCTCTAAATGCTCTAAACAGGCATAGTGTTTCTTCCAAGGGCCTCAGAGCTGCAGATGCCTGGTAAGACAAAAGGAAGCACTGGATGTGAATTGAGATTAAAGACCCAACTCTCTTTTTGAAAAACTGAAGAACGGCTGGATGGGGGAAACGTGGGTCCAACTACAGGAAAAAAAAAGTGATCTAGTGCTACAGGGATTAAGGAGCGCTGATGGGAATCTGCGTTATGCTGCATTCATGATCGTGAACATACGTAAACTTGAAAAACAGTACTAGTATTGCTGTTGCAGTTTGTGGATCTACTAATTTCTAACAAAAGTTCCACCAACGTATCCATCCGGATGAGGAGATGTAGATATGCTACAAGTGTCCGAGCTACTCGATAGGACCCTGCGCCTAAAAGTTCGAGGTTTTGAGATAAGAGAACCCTCCGATACGAGGGACCAAACCGTAAACATTCAGTGTACTGTATAAAATAGGGAAGCTTTTCAGAGGCGATTTTAGACCATGACGGAAGAGTTTGAGGAGGCTGGTTATACGGCAAATCCAAGGATTTCCAGAATGCGCTCATTGGATCAAGACGACAATAACAGGATGGTGGAGGCGTTCAACTTTCAGAGAGGGCAATGCAGGCAAGGGCTGGGGTCGGGATTGGAGTGGGAAGTAGTCTTGCCCTGAGGGAGGCTACAAATCACAGTGAGAAGGCACGGGGCACTCGAGTTTATGGGGCGTGGGGTTGAAATGGGGCAGCAGGCGGGACTGGACAAGGACTGTGCCCTGCTTCAAAATATGGTGGTCTCATACTTGGTGCTACTCGAAGGCCTGGAGGAGCTCCGTGGTTCGTAAAGCCAGCTGGTGCTGCCCAGGGACTGCAGGTCCGTTTCCAGCTCCAGCGGGTCGATCTGCCGAGGAAGTAGGAGCGAGGAGTGAGACTGCAGGAGAGAATGGCAGCCAACGGAAACCCACATTTCACACAGTCAGGAGATGGCCGTTGAGCATGAACACCATGTAGGAGAAAGCACCGTAGACAGACAACAACACTCGGACCTGATGAAGGTTTGAGTCTATACACACACAAATGCTCATTCTGGCTAGTGTAATCAGACTAGAGCTGTGGTGAGAAATCAACTCTGGATCCATTTTAAAATGCACCCGCTATTCTCTCCTAAATATATTCTGAGCTCAGTGTTTAACAGCTGATGGCGCTGTATGCTTTACAAACAGCCACACTCTGCTTTCATCCAATTAATTACAAATACCACTTGAACCTAAAATAATCAATGATAAAGTTAGGAAAGGTTTAAGTATTAAAACTAGCCTAGAGCGCCATCTGCAGTAAAAGATTATCGTAGAGTACCATCTGCAGTTAAAGACTATCCTAGAGCCCCATCTGCCGTTAAAAACTAGCCTAGAGCCCCATCTGCTGTTACAAACTATCCTAGAGCCCCATCTGCTGTTAAAAACTAGCCTAGAGCCCCATCTGCTGTTACAAACTATCCTAGAGCACCATCTGCTGTTAAAAACTAGCCTAGAGCAGCATCTGCAGTTAAAGACTATCCTAGAGCGCCATCTGCAGTTAAAAACTAGCCTAGAGCACCATCTGCAGCTAAAAACTATCCTAAAGCACCATCTGCAGCTAAAAACTAGCCTAGAGCGCCATCTGCAGTTAAAAACTATCCTAGAGCACCATCTGCAGTTAAGGACTATCCTAGAGCACCATCTGCTGTTAAAAACTAGCCTAGAGCACCATATGCAGCTAAAAACTATCCTAGAGCACCAGCTGCTGTTAAAAACTATCCTAGAGCACCATCTGCAGCTAAAAACTATCCTAAAGCGCCATCTGCAGTTAAAAACTATCCTAGAGCACCATCTGCAGTTAAGGACTATCCTAGAGCACCATCTGCTGTTAAAAACTATCCTAGAGCACCATCTGCTGTTAAAAACTAGCCCAGAGCACCATCTGCAGCTAAAAACTAGCCTATAGCCCCATCTGCTGTTAAAAACTATCCTAAAGCGCCATCTGTAGTTAAAAAATTATCCTTTAGCACCATCTGCTGTTAAAAAGTATCCTAGAGCACCATCTGCTGTTAAAAACTATCCTAGAGCACCATCTGCTGTTTAAAGCTAGCATAGAGTGCTGTACTTTGTAAAAACTAGCCTAGAGCACTATCTGCTTTTAAAAACTAGCCTAGAGTGCCATCTGCTATTAAAAACTAGCCTAGAGTGCCATCTGCTGTTGAAAACTCACCTAAAACGCCATCTGCTGTTAAAAATTACCCTAGAGCACCATCTGGTGTTAAAAACTAGCCTACTGCGTCATCTACTGTTAAAAACTAGTCTAGAGCACCATCTGCTGGTAAAAACTAGCCTAGAGCACTGTCTACTGTTAAAACTAGTCTACAGCCCCCACCGTCCACTGTTAAAAACTGGTCTACATCACCCACCGTCCACTGTTAAAAACTTGCCTAGAGTGACATCTACTGTTAAAAATTAGTCTAGAGCACTGTCCACTGTTAAAAACTAGCCTAGAGTGCATCTGCTGTCAATAACTAGCTTGGAGCACCATCTACTGTTAAAAACTCCCCTAGAGTGCCGTCTGCTGTTAAAAACTAGTCTAGGGTGCTGCCTGCTGTCAAAACTAGCTTAGAGCACCAACTACTGTTAAAAACTAAGCTCAGAACTGATTCAAAGTAAAATGTCGATGCATTTTAAAAACTCTCAGAATTGCTTCCAGCAACAATTTTTCACAACAGCTCAGAATCGGACTTTGCAAATAGATTATTTCATTTTTGAGGTAAATGTGTCAAACTGCATTAAACAAGATTTTAAAGGTCACCTGATGCAGTCATTTTGAGTTATTTTCAAAAAAGTGAGAATTTTGAGATAAATTATATAAGAAAGTGTTAATGTAAGATAGCTGCTGTGAAAACATTTGAATTATTGCTTAAAATACAATACTTTGATTTTGAAAAGGCCTCTCAATGACGCTGTTAGGCGACAAATTATGTTACGTAACATGAAACTCCCATTGTGTGAAATTTCTCTTAGAAATTTTTCAAGACATTGATACAAGCATGGCAACCTAATTAAATGTGTGTGTACTGATCTGTAAAGTAAAAATACTACTGTAAGAATCTCACAAAAACAGATCTGGGACACCTTTCACACACAAATCTATTTACATTTCTGCTTAAAATTAGCTTCTGCTTAACATTGTTCTGCATTGTGACATTATTTCTTATACAATTATGCACAGAATCTTAGTTTTGCTTATGAACGTTTTCATTTTACTGTAATTATTAAAGCACTATACATAGAACTCTGAAACCATTGCTATTATGTTTATTAATGGTCTGTGCATGACCTGCTGCAGCAATTTACTACTTATGCTCACACATTTATGCACATATAATGAACTAAAGACCTCTTTGTTCTTTGCTTAGAAATAAAAAGAACAAGAGCTTCTGATAACAAGTGATATACTGATATTTAACAATAATTAGGCGGAGGCAAGGTTTCTTACAAGCTGTTTACACATTATCAATATTAATATTAATTTGTTTTTAATACATTTTTTATCCCCATTATGAATTCCACTAATTGAAACTATATATATATATATATATATATATGTGTGTGTGTGTGTGTGTTGTTTCAATTAGTGGAATTCATTATTGCATAATGGGGCTAAAAAATTGATTAAAAACAAATTAATAATAATATTGATCTTGATTGATTGATGATATTGATCTATATGTGTGTGTGTGTGTGTGTGTGTGTGTGTGTGTGTGTGTGTGTGTGTGTGTGTGTGTGTGTGTATGTATATATATATATATATATATATATATATATATATATATATGTGCGTTATATATATGCATAACTGCTTTTATTCTAGCTGGAATAAAACAAATTTGACTTTCTCCAGAAGAAAAAATATTATCAGACATACTGTGAAAATGTCCTTGCTTTGTTAAACATAATTTGAGAAATATATATATATATAAAAAACAATTCAAAGAGGGGCTAATAATTCTGATTTCAACTGTATACATATTTATAAATGACATAAACACACTTAATAAACACACAAACACATAACATAATCATCAAAATAATGCCACAATGCACTAAAATTATTAATACAATAGTAATTTCCTTTTCATAAAGTATCTTATTTAATTTAATTGATTTTGGAGTAGATGTTGCTGAAATGCTTTGTGAGATTCACCCAAACAAACGTTATCCTGCTTAAACACTGAGCACATCCTCAGGCCAAAACAATAATGTGCCAATGACACACTCATCCTTGACTCTTACACAACCTTTAGATCATCTTAAATCTGCGATACTGTACTGGTACCACATTTTAAACTTGTGACCTGTTGCTAGTGTCAACCAAAAATGTACATGGGGGAGAAAAAATAGGTGGAAAACAGTGAACGTAACAGGAAAATTAGTAGAGTGAATAAGTGGCAGGGAAGAGAGAGGAAGAGTGTTGGAGGATGAAGAGGAAGAAAGAGAGAGCAGAACCTGAACTCCGGGGCTGATAGAGGGCAGCGGGAGGTAGGAGGGGCGGTGGGCGGAGCATGTGTGACAGTAACAGCAGCGGCATTCAAGCACAGGTGCACCCTGGGAAGGAGGAGCAGGCAGAAGCACAGAGACACAGAAGATTACAGACAGCAAAGTCAAAGACATGACAGGACATAGATCAAAACTGCTCATTTTGTTTGGCACAGCCAGAAACCGTACCACATGTTTATTATGAACATGGAAAAGGAATGTTACTAAATTTCTTTTTTTTATATATATATATATACTAACCAGCTTTTTTCCCTTCTGCACTTGAAGATTTATAACATTAAACACTCACAGGCCACTTTATTAGTTACACTTGTCCAACTGCTTGTTAATGCAAATTTCTGATCAGCCAATCACATGGCAGCAACTCAATGCATTAAGTCACATAAACATGGTCAAGACGATCTGCTTCAGTTCAAACCAAGCATCAGAATGGGGAAGAAAGGTGATTTAAGTGACTTTAAACACATGGATGTTGGTGCCAGACGGGCTGGTCTGAGTATTTGGTATTTCAGATTTCTGCTGTGACATTCGGATGGTCGGGTCAGATTTTGGCTTCAACAACATGAAAGCATGGATCCATCCTGCCTTGTATCAACGCTTCAGACTGCTGGTGGTGGTGTAATGGTGTGGGGATATTTCCTTGGCACACTTTGGGCCCATTAGTACCAATTGAGCATCGTGTCAACACCACAGCCTACCTGAGTATTGTTGCTGACCATGCCCATCCCTTTATGACCACAGTGTACCCATCTCCTGATGGCTACTTCCAGCAAGATAACGCACCATGTCATAAAGCGCAAATCATCTCAGACTGGTTTCATGAACATGACATGACTGTGTGATGCTATCATGACAATATGGACCAAAATCTCTAAGGAATATTTACAATACCTTGTTTAATCGATGCCACGAAGGATTGAGGCAGTTCTGAAGGCAAAAGGGGTCCAATCCGGTACTAGTAACGTGTACCTAATAAAGTGGCCAGTGAGTGTATAAATACCATTAAAGATAGTGCTAAAAAATGCTATTTAAAAAAAAAAAAAAAAAAAAAAAATATATATATATATATATATATATATACACACATTTTGTAATTTGAATCTAAATTATTCTGTTATTCCACAAAGCCGTTACTCTTTTAATTATGTAAACCTATTTGATATACTTATTTTTTTCTTTCTTTTATATTAAATTTTTGTTTTCTTTTTCATGACAGGACACAGATCAAAACCACATATGTTTTGGAATTGTCAATTCTCAAAGTAAAATGTAGTGTAAATTTTCTAAATTCCTGAATAGCAAGTTCATTCATTCATTTTTTTGTCGGCTTAGTCCCTTTATTAATCCAGGGGTCGCCACAGCGGAATGAACCGCCAACTTATCCAGCAATTTTTTACGCAGCGGATGCCCTTCCAGCTGCAACCCATCTCTGGGAAACATCCACACACACATTCACACACATACTCATACACTACGGACAATTTAGCCTACCCAATTCACCTGTACCGCATGTCTTTGGACTATGGGGGAAACCGGAGCACCCGGAGGAAACCCACGCGAAGGCAAGGAGAACATGCAAACTCCACACAGAAACACAACTGAGCCGAGGTTCGAACCAGCGACCTTCTTGCTGTGAGGCGACAGCACTACCTACTGCGCCACTGCCTCGCCCCTGAATAGCAAGTTATTGCAAAAAAAATCTTTTTAAAATATCAACATTTTATTTTGGGATTTTTTTGGACTGTTATAAAAACACTGAAAATGAATGTTAATAAATTCCATCTATGCCAATTTACCAACCAAAACAATTTTTTCTGCTGTACTTAAAGTTTTGCAACACTATATAAATACCATTAAAACAGTACTAATAAATGGCATTAAAATAATAGTTTTTTTTTCAATTTTTAAATTGAAATGATTCTGTAATTCCACAGGGCCGTTACTCTTTTTAAAAATGTATACCTATTTTATATACTTTACTTTTCATTAATTTTCCTTCGGCTTAGTCCCTTTATTCATCAATGAACCACCAACTTATCCAGCATTTGTTTTATACAGCGGATGCCCTTCCAGCTGCAACCCAGTACTGGGAAACACCTATACACACGCATTCACACACATACACTACGGCCAATTTAGTTTACTCAACTCACCTATAGAGCATGTCTTAGGACTGTGGGGGAAACCGGAGCACCCGGAGGAAACCCACGCCAACACGAGGAGAACATGCAAACTCCACACAGAAATGCCAACTGAGTTAGCCGAGGCTCACACCAGTGACCTTCTTGCTGTGAGGCGACAGTGTTAACCACTGAGCCACTGTGTCACCCACTTTACTTTTCTTTCTTTTTATTTATATCTTGTTTTCGATTTAATGACTGAAACCGTACATATGAAAACATGAAACAAATTCATTGGAATTGTCAGTAATCAAAGAAAACATGGTGTGATATCTCCAAATTCATGAATAACCAATTATTTAAAATATCAGCATGTTTTTTTGGGGATTTGTGGACTCTATTAAGGAATTTACTAATCAATTCTTTTTCCTGCTGTAATTAAAGAGGACCTATTATGCAAAAATCACTTTTATAAAGGGTTTAAACACAGCTGTGTGGCAACCGAGTGAATATAACCAGCTTTAATTTAACTTATTTTAAACCACACTTGATAAAAACAGTCTGCAGAAACACTTTGATTGACATTCTCCCTTTGTACATGTCATCAGAGAAAGAAAGCCCCTCCCACTAGTGACCATCTCTCCCTTATTAGCATATACCAGGGTTTTTCAAAGTCTAAGACAGTGGGCCTCCCTTTTGACACAACTTATCCATTGGCGCCCCCCTCCTCCCAAACATGCAAGCACACACACGCGGACACGCACACACACACACACACACACACACACACACACACACACACACACACACACACACAAACACAAATTCTGGAGGATTTCTTGCTACCTCATCATGCTTGGTTTCAAGGTATCGCCGAAGTTTAGCGGGTCTCATGCTGTCATTAGCCAAAATATCTTGACAAACCACACATAAAGGTCGTGGTTCATCAGCTGGTCCTCTCCACGTAAATCCTAAACTCAAATACTGATCATCATATCGTCGTCTTTTGGGTTTAAGCCCTGAACTTGAAGGCTTTGAATCGGTGGGTCTCAGAAACCGATTCATTGCATTAGCAGCATGATTAGCAGGCATATACCTGTATTGGCAGGCTTGCCAAACAGAAGCGAATTCACAGCTATGGCCTTCTGGGTAAAAAAGGTTTTCTTATTTTATAATGTATTAATTTTTTTTAGCTTTGTTTACTTAAAACGTTTAAAAATAATAAAAAATACATATAATAATTAAACTTAATAATTATATTTTTATTATATAATATGTGTTCCCGCGCCTCCCCAGACATGCTCTGACGCCCCCCCAGGGGAGGCGCGCCTCACACTTTGAAAACCCCTGGCATATACTGTTACTATACGCTTGTTTTTGAATCTGCCACTATGCTGACACGTGGGCATTTGTGGCTCTGCCCTCTTTTGAAAAGAGCATAATCTCATTTGAATTTAAAGCAACAATCACCAAAATGGCACAATTAGGATCAAAGCCTAAAGGGTCAGTTTCAGAGAACTATATATAAAACAATATTTGTGGTGTATTTTGAGCTGAAACTTCACAATCACACTCTAGGGACATCAGAGACTTATTTTACATTATGTTAAAACATTATATAAACTCTCTTTACATCAAGAAAGTCTTAAATTTGGCAAATAATGTAATCTAATATATTTTTAAAACCCTTTGCAAAACTAAATCTGCTCTATCCTTTCATAGAAACACAAGCCTTCAAGTTTACAAGAGATACTGGAAAACAGAAATGAAAAAATGCTGTAGTTGTGAAATGAACCAACTCTACAGTTCAGCAGGAATTCAGCTAAACAAAACGAATCCCAAATTGCATTGGACACAAATAAGAGGCAAGTGCGTGCTGTGAATATATCTTGTTAATATTGACTCAAAAATACCCAGATGTAATACAGAAAAACACCCAGATGTAATTTGAGAAGCTGCAATATTTAAACTGACACAAATGCAAACAAAGCAGCGAGGGAAGCTGCAGTTCAGAACGAAAACTCTAGAAAATAAGGCTTGTGAAAAGAGGGACCATAAGACATTTAGGAAAAGAGCTTACTAAAGAGCTTGTGTGAAGTTTGCATGTTCTTCCAGTGTTGGTGTGGGATTCCTCCGGGTGCTCCGGTTTACCCCACAGTCCAAACACATGCGCTTTGTGTATAGCTCTGCATATGCCCTATAGTTTTAAGTTTTTTTTGTGTTGATTTTCTGTTCAAAATAAATTAATTAAATCAATACGATAAATGCTTCCCTTTACCAAACTGAGGGGTGAGAATTTCCCGCCAAAAAATCTAAACTTCATCATTCACAGCAGACATTGTGAATACGTCATGATTTAGCCAAGTGCGATGCGATCCTGTATTAACATCTATGTTGATCCTGGAACATCATTATTGTGTGAAAATGTAATCCATACCTATTTCCTACCCCTAAACCAACCATAACTGTAAATTATTTCCAAAATCATAGGGGGAATAACAGTTGGATAACAAGGTATATTAACGGTAAGCCTAAACTTAACAAAAACTGTATTCCTTAATTCTGATTGGCTGATTGTAATGTTGCTCCAGGATCATCATAGATGTTACTCCAGGAACATGTCCTACTTGGTGAAATCAGTGAATACTTACGGTGGAGCGGCGTGTACTGTTGCGGGACTGCGAGGTTGGCCTGTTGGTCTTGATTTCGATGTTTTCAGGAGCTGGACCCGCATATGAACTGTGACGACGAGCCTTCTGTGCCTGGAGAGCCATCTGATATGCTACCTCAAACGCCTGTCCCAGCGTCAGAATGATCTCGTAGGTCTGTGTCTGTACGGAGAACAGCCGTTAGTGGAGGCAATAAATAATTACACAATTTGTGTTTTCCCGCTTACTATAAAAGTGTCTGAGGAAACTGTGTTGCATCTGACAGCCAAACCGCAAACTGGAAGTGTTACTCATTTTGATATTACAAGGCCAGCCAATCATATCAGAACTCATTTACATAAACCAGTGAGATGGATGAGCAGCATTACACCGAAAAAATATTTTGATTGATTTATTTTTTTTAAGGTAAGTGGATGCAATCTATTTATTTAAACAAACAAATTAAGTTGAACATTACTAAATGCAGTATGTTTCTTTAAATTCAGCCTCACAGTTGTGCTCAAAAGTGTACAAACCCCTTGAAGAATTTGTTTAAGTGTGAATAATTTGGACGAAATAAGAGAGATCATCCAAAATGCATGCTATTTTTGATTTGGTACCTTCCCGAGTAAG